TATATATATATATATATATATATATATATATATATGAAAATGTTCAGAGCGCTACTTTTATCAGACCCGATCAGGTTCGAAAGTGAAAGCAATGTCATGCCCACCACCGTATACTCAACAGCCCTATGGGCAAGGGGTTTGTTTAAGTTGAAATTGTTGCCGCTGTCACTTTCTGAACAACAGAAAAACAATACAGCAACTCGAAAACATTTAGTTATTTTGCACTTTCTTTGGAAGTTTCCATAATCTACCCTCTTATAAACGCTTGTTACGAAACAGACGACTCAGAAGTCGAAGTATCCGTAAATGAGTTGCATCGAGGATTTTTACCACCTCTCTTGCAATCCCTCTCCATTTCGTTTCTTGAAGTGGTTCAACACAGTCTAGCACAAACCATTTTTACATAAATATGGCAATTATTAATATCTCCAATTATTACAATTAGGAACATTTATATAATTATATTTCCTGACTTCTGGTTGCTCAGCAGCAGTAATTGTTTATTTAACCGAGTAAAAAAAATTACAACGTCAGCGAAACTGATAAGAATTTATAAGTGAAATTTTTGTTTGAGGGAACTTGCAATTCTTACTCGAATTTGACCAGTACAATAAATGATTTTCTTCAGATGTTGTCAAAAGTGTAGAATAAGTTCGATTATGATTCCTATATAAACTGAACTGATTATAGTACCCACCACAGCCTGGCTTCCATCCAGCTCCTTATCCACCCCAACAACAGCCATATTATCCACCTAATCAGTGTGGATATCCCAGTCAGTGTGGATATCCGCAAGGATACCCCCAACAGGGCTACCCTCCTCAAGGATACGGATATCCTCAGCCACAGATTGTGTGAGTTGTTGTTTTTGCTTTCTTCACATAAATTAACCTCATATCATTTCGCAAAAGCTTTAACTGGTATAGGTAATAAACTGAACTGATTATAGTATCCACCGTGAATCGTATCGTATCAACTGATACGATACGATTCACGCAAATTTTCAAATGAATAACAAACAGATGATTATAATGAGTTGCAAGCATAAATCTTTTGCGTTATTCAGCGCACGAAAAGGAATTTCAGAACAGTTGACCGGCGACCCGATCATGATCGCGGCGGATTCAAAGGGAACAACTGTTGGTTATGGGCATTGTTGGCCTGTTGTTGTGGATGTTGTTTGGCCGAATGCTGCGATTAGTGCAGCAATGCTCAATTGGGCCAACTCCGATCATTGCATTTCAGCGTTTTTGTATTCATCAAATCTGCTGTAATTACAACCATTTGCTTACAACTTTTATTATCAACTGATACGATTTCTATTCGTTTGTACATTCTGTTTCCTCGACTAATATGAGTACGTTTTTTGACTATTTTCAGGTGCTCAGAATGATAAAAATTAACAAAACCTTTCAAATGCTTCAATAGAGAAAGTGTAAATATATGATGAAAAGTTGTATTATTTTTAGCCAATAGTTTCAAAAAACGAATCACTTAAAAACTCAAAAAATGAATGTCATTTTTATCGATGTAGTGGCACGCCAACGAGACAGAAAGGGAGGGGAGAGCGGAACCGGAACGCAATCTAACAGCATATCCACGTGACGCTTTTTTTCTTGAACCTGTGGCCGTGAGATAAATGTGTCTGTCAATCCGCTGTTAGAGCTGAATATGAATCCAGTCACGCCACTACATCATTGCACTTATGTTCAACTAAGTATTTGCCAATTCAACTCACTAAAAACTCTTCTCAATAACGATTGCGACAGTTTTGAAAGGAACCTTCCTTTACTGTAATTTTTCATTTTCATCCATCGATCATTTTTCCGTTCGTTCAAAATATGTGAAAAAAGGTAAATTGCCAGAAAAATGCAAATTTTTCATGTGTTACGGCGTTCACTCTATTTTTTAAAAAACTCACTATACGAATAAGAAATTTATTGGTAACTTGCTGGAAACAATAATTCTGATTCATTTCATTGCGTCAATGCATAGATAATATAATCAAAATTAATTTTTTTGCGATACCATATACAGTGAAGTATCAGAATTTTGTTCAGAGATATAACAGCAGTTAGTATGAAAAAAAATACCATTAGTGTGAACAAACAGTATTTACTACATTAACAAAGGTAATCAAACATTTGCTCAAAACAGCAAATGTTTCATTGATATCACAATGTTAGAACACAGAACGTAAACGCTGCTGACTCGATATCACCACTATAATTTCGATCAGTTCAGCTCACTAATCAAATTTAGAAAAATCCTTTCATATTCACTTGACAGCGATATCAGTGGTGAATAACTGAAACAGTAATTCACTGAACACTTTTGAAGGCATTCATTTCATTTAGAGGAGAGAGGTGACAGCATCTGGATGGTTTTGGTACCCTGACCAAACCTTCGCAAAACGGAACCCCGAAGAAACAATAATCGCAGCAGCTCAGACTGAGATACACGTGAAAACTTACGAAACCAACAAACAATATTTTAGAATGGAATCACAATTTCAAAGCGCATTAGCACACGCCGTCTGGAAATTATATCACAAAACAACAATAATCAACTATTTGAAACAAAAAAAAAAGAACTCTTAAGAGATTTGCACATCACATTACTGTAATCACAACATTTGTCAAAAATATAAACGAATACTGTGAAAGAGTTACACTTCTTAAAGCCATACGCTTTCAGAGGCAAATTCAATTTTTATAAGAAATAAAATTACCCAATAAACCTAATTTAAACTAAATTAATGTACACTTTCGGCAGTTGATCAGCTTTCACTCAAAACCCCTTCATCGTTCCGTTTGCCAGTTCAACCTTCAATTATCCACCTATTCTTTCGTTTCACGAATGAATTTCGACAATTATCTTCTTATCTCATTCATATTTGGTCTCTCCTCTCATCTCATTCATATAACTTTCCATATCTCATTAATATTATATCCCTACCTTTCTATATAAGATGGATTACGTTTGCAACTGCATAAACAAAACTGAAGTTTCAAATGACCGACAAACTCATTAAAAAATAATCGCTGCACTCTATTGCTACCCTGCCTCCAATGGCGAACATCATGCATAAGTACCATGAAACAACGAACCAACACACAATTAAAAAACAAACAATATAAACAAACACAGTTAAATGATGCAACAGATCACTTATGGTTTTTGAACAAATTTTTTGATAAGTTGCATACGCTGACGATGCGCTTCTGTACTGGGAGACTTCGTGTAGGGACTGTGTTCAGCCGTATGTCCGCTTTGTGGTGCATCGGGTGCAGCAAACAAACTGAAGCGTTTTTCTAGCACATATTCCACATCTTTAACTTCCATCATTGGAGCATTCCTGTAAGTTTATGCATCCTCAATTCTTAGTTCATATAATATTTATAGCCAACAAACTGCTTATTTGAATAACAAATTCATGAATTCGATCAGAGAACTGCTTTTGCAATAGTTCATGATTACCTGAGGACCGGAATTTTACAATCCTCATCCAGTAGAAATGTAACGAAGTATGGTATTATATTATACTGGTAATCATTTCATCTGCCCTTTTTATATCAACAGTATGCACTTCGGAATTCCAATCCAACTCTACTTTCCGACTTGAGAGTACCACACCAAATGGTGCTCAGTGCAATACAGATTCGACACAAATCATTGCGCATAAAACATGACAACAACATATATGCTTAATATTTAACAATACATTGGGCATTGCATGGTAATGAATCGCTAGTCAACATCGTCGTGATGACGAACAGACTGAAGTGTGAGCTGATTGGGCACCCAGACATGACAGTGAATCGTGAGAACGGATTAGATGAAGCTGTTTATGACTGGGTGTTATATCATTACTAATAACAGTACTACATAGTTACACATCCATTAGTCACGAAAAATGGACACAATAAAACCAAATATAAATAAGCGATCATACCTATGCTTGGCGACCTTTGCAGACTGATCGACGAGATCATTAACAAATTCATCGACCAACTGAATGAGCGCTTCCGAAACATCTTCCTCAACTGTCTCTGTTGGATCCACAGACTTTATGAATGCTTCGAGCGCATCCTTGAAAATCGAAAGCGCTTATGCCAATCGTGATATGAACAAGAAACTAGACCAGCAGATAAATTATGAGCAACACATAAAAAAAGCACATCACAATTCTCGACAAGCTTACTCAATGAGTTCTCCTAAATTCAGTTCAGTTCAGTTTATGAGCTGATCTACGAAACAATTCCATGCTAAACAAGTACTAGCATTCAACTACACAGATCGAACTGCATGTGAATAGCGTGCGTTTCGTGATAATCTCTAATAAAAAATGACTTTTTTTAATTGAAAAAATTGTTACGTTGATTCTGAAAGAGTGAAAATGAAAACACTGATTTGAAAATACACACCTTGCCAAGTATTCGTGCGTTGCTGTTCGGTGGCGTGTTTCTGTCAGTTGTTGTAGCTGAAATACAAGGAGCAGAAGAGGTCGACGGTAAATGGCCTAGTGCTTGGCGAATAGCTGGCGATTGTCCCATGAGTCTTGGCGTCACTGGACCACGCTGCATAACCGGTCGATCTAGAGGTACAACGAATATTGAAGGGAACTGCTGATGGTAATTGGCAATTTTGAATGAACTCAAACAAGTTGTAGCGCTGTCAGCAATTGGATGATACAAGGTCGAGATTATTTTTTACAATAATAACTACACTTATGTAGATCACACAAACGAAAGTCAAGAACACAAACTGCATTCGCAATGATAATTTCACTGCTGATATCTTCTAAACATTAACTGAACACATAATGGTTTGAAAAAAAAAAAACGCAAAAGAGAATAAAATAAATTCAACGAACAAATGTTTGTGTTATGAGTAGTATTATCGGGACTCGGTGTAGGGAAGCGTGGTGCAGGTAGTCGATGAATTGGAGGTCCTTGCTGATAACTTGCGCTTGGTGGTCGTCCTTGTGCTAAATGTGATCCAAAACCACCTGGACTAGAATTCTGTTGTGATTGCGACTGTGACTGTGAAGTAATTGTCGGTTGATGTTGCATAATCTGTGGCGAGTGTTGCACGATCTGATGTTGCTGTTGCGACTGTTGATTCATTTGGTTGAGCAGTTGTGATTGACTGCTCATAGCTGACGCCATCATATGAGACTGGCTGCTTTGTTGCTGGTGTTGTGATGACGGTGACGTTAACATCTGATCACCACTCTTCACTATTTGTCCTTGATTAACACCTAAATTACTATTACTGAAGAATTCTGTCATGAATAAAGATATTCATCATTTTGTGATTCATCCTTAATGTGCAATGTTTATTTCTTATCGGATTATTATATCTTATTTCTGAATATATCGAAAATATATTATTTTTGTAATACAGATCTCACGTCATTTTATATAGCATCATTTCCTCTTATCATGCCATAATCTAACTAATATTATGAAGCTAAATTTGTTCTGATTATTGTTTTGTGTACGTATAAGTAAATCGAACGTTTGTTGTTAACACTCTGCCTCAACACATCCAACCGCACCACACGATATACCCTTTCAAAACAAATTCATATCAGTTTTTCGCTAAACTTTTAACAATTCCACTTATATGAGAATTCTGACTGAAATTTGACCATGTATCAGAAACATGTTGAAGGGCCGTTCCTGACTGACAACTTCAAATGTATTTGTTTTAATGAACACTTTCCAACGACAACCTGTCACGAGAAAAGTTGCTCACGGAACCTCCGTTCAAAAAAGAACGAATAGCAAAAGACGCTTTCAAGAGAGAATAAAAATGGGTTAACAAGTTCTTTGGATGATAGCCGTAAAATTGACAAAGAAAAACAATAAAATAACCAAACGAAAACCTTGCTGTTGCTGCATTTGTGCAGATTGGTTCATCAGAGTGACGCCTGGCTGTGTGACCATCGAAGATACTCCCATCTGAGGAGCCATTTGATGCATATTCACACTTGTCCCTATATTCATGCTTGTGCCTAAACATAGACGCATACAACTCATTTTGATATGATCAGATTTCACTGTGATTTTCGATTGCAAAGTTGACAATGAAGTGGATTCATATGTTGGAACTTCAAACAATGAATGCTTTGAAAAAATTGCTTCAAGCAAAATGAGTCGCATGAGCACAACCAATTTTTAAGGCGTTGCGAATGAAAGCTGCTTCAGCCTACGAACTATAAGTGGTCAACAACGACGATCACTTTCTTTATAGAAGTCAGCTGCAGGAATTGATGCATGATGCAGCAACAGATAGACGTTACTGTAACCTACATAAACTTTCAGCGATCTCAATCGACAGCACTAAATTGAAAATAAGAATAACTTAAAAATATGCATACAATCATAAAAAATTACAAGTGGGCATTTGCATTGATTGTTGATTAGATTGCATCATAACTTGTTGTTGAGGCACTTGAGACATGACCGATTGCTGAGGTACCTGAGCCATTACCTGTTGCTGAGTTATGATTTGTGCTCCTTGCATGATATGTGAATGCTGCAATACAATTATAGAGCAAAAATAAACGCAATCGCCCTATCGTGCTATTCTATGGCTTTTCGCTTACACCTTCCCGATTGGCTAACCCCCGCCTTGGCTATTGTTAAACCAAACAACAGAAATGCAAAGCAGCAACTGAATAAATGCACAGCAACAAATCCACTTCAACCTTGACGGCCAATTCATAAATCAACGACAACGCATCACAACACTCATCACTTTTCAACGCACCTACTATCAGAAGCTTATTTGAGCTTAAGTTAGAACGTTGACCAGAAACTGTTTACGCTTGAGGTTAGACTTCAATCATAACCAGCTTACGTCCCCTCGAAGTTTGGGCTTTATTGCTCTCAGGTTGAAGTTTCAGCTCATTTTCTGATTTTGTAGAAGAAGATTTGTGAGGTGAGAGCAGAGACATAGAACAACAATGATCTACTTCTAATTGGTGGCATGAAATGAAATAATTCCCATCTGGATGGAATGGTAACGACCGAATGGCAATTACTCCACCAAAAGTTACAATAACTGCTACTCAATGGAAACGCACCTGCTGTTGAGGTGATGGATGCTGCGCTTGGATCCTCTGCATCGTAGCAGGAGAGTGGCCCATTTCCGCCACTCCATAACCTTGGCTCATCTGTTGGCTGTTGTACTCGGCCATTACCTGCCGTTCAATCACATTGCTTCATAACAAAGCACATTCATCGCAACGACGCATCAACCAAAATCGTCATAATGAATACCAATGACGATAATAATAATAATTAATAATAACAATAATAATAATATTATTATTGTTATTAAAAAAGATGTACGTATTAAAATTTATCCGCACACGGTACTGATTTCTGAAACGCATAACGTCTGAAATTTTCAGACAAAAAATGTCTAGAGATTCAGTCACCTTCAGAAACAAAAATGTTGAATACATCATCGAATAGAGTGGAGGTGCAATGAAAACTGCAAATGCAAAAAGAGCGCCAATTGCTAAAACTCTACTGTACGAGTACGATTTATGCGGCCGAGTTTTGGAAGGCAATTCGACGTTATTCACAGTATGGAAGTAATCTCAACCTGAATCTGAGGAAAACGTCAATCTGAGCCCGGAGTGAGCCTTAGCTTGTGCGTAAGTTTTATCCCAAACCGGCACTAAGTCTTAGCTGAAGTTCAGGGTAAGCTCTAACCTCAGCGACGTGAAAATAAAGAAAGTAAATAAACCAGCAGGTGTGCGAACCGGCAAAAAAGCCGTTGACAATCGAGTCTCAATCCTTATGACAAGCCTGGCACATAGCGGCATAGTCAAGACTTTTTTCCAGTTGGGCGAGGTTGAGGAGGGTGCAAAATGGTCTGTATTTTGAGAAGCATTCTTCTGCACTTACTTAATTTTCCTCGTCCCTCCTCCCTTAACTTTCCCATTTTTTCTCCCTGCTCTTTTCCTGTCCTTTTCTCCGTTTCTTTCCCTTGTAGTGAGGGTAGGGTATGGAGGGGGGGGGGGTGGGGGGAAGAACGACCCCCTAGGTACGCCACTGCTTAAACCCTTTTCACTTGCATAGCTCCCCTCCCCGCCCCCAAGCAGAAAAGCTACGGAATAACTAGAATAACATCAGCAGTTTCTTCGCCAAATCTATTGCGAACTGAAAATGAATAATATATCGAAAGATGAAATTGAATATCTCATTATTCACAAAGTCACCATTCCTGGATTTTTGGAATAGAGCAGCATTCGCGTTGATCTATAAAATCGTTGTTCGGCAAGATATAACCATCAACAGACCGACTAACCACTCATCTGAGACTGAGATGATCGGAGGTTATTGTATTGTTGTGCGGGAACGGAAAAAAATCGAGGACATTTCGTCGGGAATTCGGGGACGGGGACCCCGAATACGGGTACTCTCCGCACAACACTAGGATGTTAGAACAGTGAATTGAATTTGGGCTTAGGCTTAGGATAGGGTATCTATTAAACAATTTAACGGTTTTGCCATACGGGAGGAGGTATATCATCTGTTAAATGGATCTCATACCTGCTTAACCATAAGCCTGAAGATAACAAAACCCTCTGATTAACGTTACTTTTTTCGAGTGATTCCTACGTGGTTTATTTACAATTTAAAAAACCGCATATGACTTGACGTGGCAGCACCTGAGCAAAAAATGGATCAACTGTTCCAAGTGACGAAAAGAGTATGACTCAGTTGAATTAAAAGATATCGAGACGAAGTGGCATTCGTTTCGAATGTCCATGATGAATGTATCAAAATTTTTGCAGTTTAGAGTAGATAAAATTGAGAACATTTCGGCAGTTTGGATGATGATTAGTTATCGGTGAAATGTACAGTGATATATGTTCAATTTGTTTCCTCTTTTCGAGCAGAGAAATTATACTGATTGTGAAAGAAAACTTGGATAAAATAAATTGAGTGCGCTTATAGCTGAAATAATGAACGGTATGAAGCCAAATAAATAATTTATTGTCTCATTAAAAATAAGCAAGCTTCTTACTCATCAATGGATGAGAATCAAAGCGATAACAAATAAATATCATTCTTAAAACTAACTATTCAACAAACAACAAACTTGCATATGATGTGTCTATATAGCGTTCCATCACTTCATTCAAAGTCACATTCATATGGTGACGAAGGCACATTCATTGATGATTAGAGCAGAAGTAAACAACTGTATCAGTTAAACACATTTACATAAATGACAAGAATTTTGCGTCATGAACTTGTGCAGATAGAAAGTGATGAAAAGGAGCAATTAACACAGTTATTGAAATTTTTAGAAGGGTCAGGAAGATGAACGAATCGTTTTCATTTATCACTGTATGAAATCAGCTTCAAAGAAAACGAATGTTTCACTGGATTAGATTCACTTCAACAACATCGATACACATAAAGCAACATTGCACATATCAAGTATGAATCAGGACACTAAAAAGAAAAATAACAAATAATCGGTACATATCTCAGTTGTTTTTCGCTGATCGACTTCATGGATCCGAACAATTCCTTAATCGCAAATATAACACAAAATTCAGTTGTATTGTTCACTGATAGGAATAGTTACAAAAAACCTCACCTGAGAATATGAAAAAATTGTTACTATATTTAAACACATCCAAATACAACTATCTATCTTTGCAAAAACAAATAAACAACAGAAATATTATCACAAGCATTGTCCCAATGATCTTTATTCAGTGTTCTTCCTGAATCAGGAAAAACACCTTGGATCGATGATTCGTTCATGCGTGCAAGCTGATCTCATGTAAGTACACGATTTCTTTTCAGATGCTGTAAAGATCTGTTCGTTTACCGCTTTCGTATGGAACGAGCAGCAGCAAACTAAATGAGAAATGTTCTGATGAACCTTTGAAAACGAAACTGCATTTCTAAGTTTTTGTGACCGTTTTTCAGTGTGCATCGGAATGTGCTAGTATTACTAACAACAGTTGAAATCAGCATAGACCTATGGAACGCAAACGGAAAACTACATTACATATTACAAACAAAATCGTATGAAGCAAAATTGTACATCTCTTCAAGTGGTGCCAAAACAAAACAAAGTGAAGCTCTGAGAGGTGAATCTTAACAAACCACATCATGATGGATAGGCGAATTTTATACAGTTGTGAGATTAACAATTTAAGAAACATAAGTTAACACTGATCGATGTGCCCACTGAAGATCAAAATCAGATAAAAATATCCGAAAATCTTAATACAATCGAGTCCTGATTGTTGGGGCTGGATTTCGTGCTTGAAGAGCGTTTTGTTCATAGATCACCTGCAAAAATCAAGTGGTCAGAGTGGCTTAAAAAGTATGAATATGAATGCAATGGAGTTCGATGGAACCTGTCGCAGCTCTTCGAACTGTCGATCGTGACTCCTGACTATTGTAAGCAATGTGTTGACCATTTCACGGATATCAGAAATTTGTTCTGGCTGTTCAGCCTCTTGATCATCTTCAGCCAATGACATTGCTTGCATTCGCGGGAACCAATCATTATTGTGCTCCTGGAGGTTTTTTCGAAGAATGAAATCAGTAGAAATTCGTCCATTAATTAGATTTTAAACAAACATCACATATGAATAATAATGAGTATATCTGTAAGCAAAAATGGGCACAATTTATCCGTTCACGTTATATCTGATGGTAGTTTGTACCATATATGCATAGTTCATACAAGAAGCGATCTGAGGCTTGCAAAAAAAGAGTGTAAGAAATGGATGGCTAAGAAGCGAGAATGAGTTTTGAAACATACCTTAATGCATTGACTCACATAACTCTCAGGTCCAGTGAATTCAGTTTCATCTTTTACTTGCAACCAAACAATAAAATAAAGATAATGGTATAAATTATGCTCTGACGAACGATGCTCTTCAAATGTAACGCTTTTATTATCAAACCTACAAAACACCATTCACAATCATCAACACAATTCAGTACTTTCCCACGGGCAATGCCATCCACCACCCATCACATAGAATAACCCATCAATAAGTGATATTGCTTGAAGGCTCAACAAATACGACGTCTCAAAACACTAATAAGACATCTCAGAATGAAATGATTACAAACTATATATGTATCTATTCCTTTTGCTATGATGAAGAAAATAATTTACCAAGGTGATTGACTGACTGCATACCAAACATGTGCACATACATTCAATCATAACTTATACTCAGTCGTTCCTTCGCAATATTAAAAAACGAACACAACGTACCTTCCTCGTTCCAAACCACAAATGAAACATGTATTCTTTAGAATATCATCTTTTTCATTTCTTTCTGCTCTCAAATCACCAAATGTGTCGATAATAACACCGAATACTAAGTTCAGTACAATAACAATTAGGACGATGAAGAAGGCCATATCGTAGAAAATTCGAGCGAAGAATGATTCTTCCTGAACACACAGTACATTACACATCTGATGAAGCAATTTGCTGATGTAGGTGATTGGCTGTTCGAATTTGAATCATTACTGCTATTGAGAAGTATTGTACAATAGTGGTGTTTACTTTACTTCTATTGATAATAACACCAAATCAGATGGTCAAAATGACAGATTAACACCTTTACGAGAAACAAGACTGAAAAGCTAACATCAGGTGCAACGTTGCGCAGAACATCGCCAATTCCACCTCCATTTCGCAGTCCCCAATTCAATGTTGTTATTATGCACATTCGTAACGTTTCGCACGACCGTATTTTGCTATCATCGTCTAAAAATTACATTTCAATATTTTTCACTCGAAAATTTTACATTTTCTGCCTCATTCAATAGCGAACACCAATTTCACTTATACCAATGAAAAGGTAATACGTTAAACGCATCTGTGTTCCGTGTTGCTGAAAATTCATAAACTTCAGTCAGTCATGTGCAGTACGAAACTATTCCAGAATTTTTAGCAGAATAAGATTTTAATTCATTTGATGAGTGTGTGTGTCATTTAGTCTCACTGAAAACAATCACCATTATCGTTCTCTCGTTCAGCTTGTTTCAGTCCAGCACTGCAAGTTCCTTCTGTGTTAACAGTATTGTTCTCACCAAAATATGTATTATTTGGACCATCACATAACATTGCGTCTGATGGATTATTTGGTTCGTCTTCGATACTGTCCACTTCCAATTGGAAATCTATGGAAAAATTCACGTCAGGTCACGGATTACACTATTCTTAGAAGTTTGAAAACGAGTAGAACAGAGCGATCAATTTTGATTTATATTGAGGCAAGCACCTAGGTCCGGTTATTCTCAAATGATGACATTTGGGAGGATGGAATGAGAAATCTGCTGAAACTCTTGTAGATTTAATTAAAAAAACAACAATAAATCAAGACAAAAACCTCGTTGGAAAAAGAGATACCCAACAATCGAAAACATATAAACAAGAATTAATGCCAAAAGTCCGGTCATTATAATTGACTGCCAATTACGAGTAACCGAACGTATCACATTCCTTAACGTCTCTTCGCTTGCAACAATATCAAATAGCTGAAAATGATCTTACATCGGCGTTTCCCATTTTTGTTATATTCAAAAATGACAATTTTTTAGCTCTATTGAAGATGTTGAGGCGATTTTCATATCATTACGAACGGTTTTCGTGCTCTCTTTTAGCTGAATATTTCATAGCACAAAGAATACTGTTAATTATCAGTAATCATAACAATGCCAATGAATTATTATTATTATTATATTCATAGAAATAATAGCAACTGATATTATCATATTATTATTGCTACTACGTATCTCTTCTTATAATTAGTAAAGAGAACAAGAAAAATGAGATAAAAATCTCACCAACAAGGAATATGCGAGTGGATGAGCAACGAAGCCAATAAAGCATACACTTAAATAAACTAGGTGATACCACACATCCTTATCTTCAATCCTTTCCGACCAGGTCTTATCGATGAGACCTCGATTACCAATGTAGCTGATCAAGTGGATCACTTTATTGATCAACTGAAGTATGATTGCAGTGAAATCAATCTTGTAACGACACACTCTTTGGTTTAGTGAGGGATGTAAAATAAAAGCGATATACACTCTCTGTAACTAGCGCGTAAAAATGTTCAGTTATTCACTCGAAAATTTATTTTAACAGAATGAGTAAAGAATGAACTATGATTTAAATTTGAAAACTTGGAGCCAAAAGATTTGATTTTTCTTACGAAATCATCATGATGCTGATGGAAGAGATAAGCAAGTACCTGAAGAATGCCGACAATGAAGAGTGTGGGAACGACACCAAAAACCGCTATGAAAAATATCGTAAAACTGAACATAACACTTGCAATACCCCAATACGCTTCGTGTGTTCGCCCCAACGATGCCCTGAGATTGAGTATTTGCAGAGCAGAATGTTATTTCGATTGAACTAAGACAATAACAAGACTTACTTGTCACTCCACTGAGTGCGAATGAACAGCATTGAGGCAAGTGTTAACGCATAAATGAGTGGATTGTTTGGAGAAAAGAATTCTGAAAGAGTTTCTATTTATAATGCAGAAAAACAAGATTGACGATGGACTTATTGTTTCTGATAATTTAAAAAAATATTTATCTCGTATGGTTCAGGGAGTTTTCTATTCATTGTTTTCTGTTCATCACAAATTTTGATGGGGTGAGACCGAGGCTGCTGTTGTGAAGAATGAACACTGTTTCTGTTCACAAAAGACCGAGGAGATGTTCATGAGTTTGGACGGAGTGATTAAAATAAGTTGTAGATAGTAAATGTGATGAATCGTGGAATGTTGAGCAAATGGGCCGCAAAGATACATGACAATCCACAGCAAAAAATAATTATTAGTTACCAGTATTGTTATCATCCGAAAATGGATAGAATAAAGCGATAATTCCATTCGCAAGAACAGCAAAGAAAAATGACAATCTCGCCCACAGAATCAAACGTTTAGTACAGTTACTTAGGTACTTTCGGTCTGAAAATGGGTATGAATATCTTAATGAGTAATGTACCGTCTTATATTGAAGTAATTTGCAACAAGCAACTCAGAGTGAATTGGAATGCCTCACATTGATAATGATTGATTATCAGTTACCTTGTAATTTCTTTTGCCACTTCATTTCTTCAAATAACTTTGGCCACTGCTCGAAGAATTCGGTCACCTCAAAAATCTCTCATAGAATTACATCACACCTTGAAACCTAAGCTCATCAGCATAAGGATGCATAAATGACAAGAAAAAGAAGAAAGAACGTTTACCTTCGAGCCTTGTGCATCTCGTTCGGTTTCAGTAAAGATGTTTTGCTTCGTTTCAGGAGTTAAGTGTTCACAAATCGGGTGTATCGGGAAAATAACGCGTTCCATTTTGCGATCTACTCTGACGATCTGAAATTGGGCATCAGCAGCTACGAACAGATCATATTCAATTATGTATATACCTCAATTTGTGCAGTGTGTCGCTTGTAATACGTGAGTACAGTGTGTGTCATATCATCTTCACAGTTTTCAGGATCAAGCATAAGCTTCAATTCGTCATTATGTCGCGACAGTTGTGTTGCCAGGATGAAAATATTATGTCCAACCTAAAATTCTTTCACTGATCTTAGATGCGAAAACTTAAAGGTGACTACTGACTTGTTGATTCTCTCTCACCTTCTTGTTACAACTGAAATGCATACGAAATCAACGCTGTTTGCTGAAATATGAAAAATGCGAGCATAACTTTTGGAGCAAAAGGTCACAGTCGAAAGCAAGTATCGTTCATGACAAAGACGATTGTAGTGTTCAGAATGAAAAACCTCTTGTGGATCGACAATTGCGGATGACGATTCCTTTTGGGTATATAATTCGGCATTTGCTTCTGGTAATGATATTTCTGGAGGTTTGACCAATTTTCCTTTTTTGTTATCTTTAGTGGTGCTCATCTGAGAGAAGCAATGAAATTTCTTCAAATTTTCACAAAAATTTTGCTTAATTAGCATGAAAACTGCCAGCTGACCGTGGAATTTATTTGAATTTTTCATCATGCTTAATTTTATAATACTCGCTTCCAAAGATAATAAATAAATTGAAATTGCTTCTAAAGATAATAAAAAGATAATAAATAAATGAAGCGGTTCAGTGATAAAATTTGTCGCATTTTTTGCAAAATAGTGTCACTAATTTTGAATTATAACTGAAAATTTCCAGCTTTCTTGCTGTGATTCTGAAATAGTGAATTGCAACATTTTACGATTAGATTCTAATGGAATAGTGGATTGGTTTGCAAAGTTGCAAATAATGTGAAAAATCATCGTAAATGAAAAGTAAATTTTCCATTACATTCGCTTCCGTCAGTTGCTTTTTGAATTTGTTAACAGCTAAACTTTGAGATGTCGCCATTTCGTAGGCCATTTTGATGGCATGTATCTGAAGAAGGTGCGAGAAATGTACGAATGCTTACTTGGTTTTTTTTTTGCATGTACTAATTCATCAGTAATTCAACGAATAAATCATCTCATAAAACTACGAATATTGAATGATGCTATCTTTTGTGCACAATCATTAACAATGCGTAATGAACTGTCAAATTTGTCTGAAAAATACATTAACGATGGAAAAGTGATGAAAAAAGATTGTATTCAGTTTTAGGTTCGAACCGAAGGTGTATTAAATTTACCGTTTCCTTACCAATTGAGCTGGTCCACTGGTCATATGACTCATATTTTCCAATACTCTTTCCGCATTATCTGCATCATGCCGTGATTCCATAACGGCGAGAAGCAATTTGGACGCATCGCTCTTAAAATAACATTCTCAGAAGCACATTACTTCTTATTCTCATGATATCTCTGAACTAAGCATTTGCTTTTCCATTCTTCACATAGAGTGTCGTTCGTACGTTGATCAAGTTTTTATACTTCAATTGCTTTTGATTGAAAAAATAGAAGATAAAATTATCACTTTAATTTCCAACGCTAAATCCATATGAGCAATGCAGAGTGGTTTTATTTCATTTAGCACCAATGAGATGATCATATTCAATCCAGATTCATGATGACCAATAGCATTCTGCAATAACATTTGTAAACAAAACTTCTGAGTGCTTGTAATATGTTTTGATCAACGAACAGAGGTTTAAGGTCTCCTGAAACGTAAATGTGAAGTTGAATCGTTCGGTACCTGATTTTCATGACAAGGTCCTTGACAAAATTCAGTTAGAGTGACTAATGTTTGAGTGATAAGCGAGAAGTTATGTTCTCCTATTTCACCAAATACACCAAGACTACCTGCAAAGGAAGCATCACTTATCGAAAAATACTTCATCATTTAATCACTCCACAAGTATTCAACGAAAAAAAAATTTCAAGATGGCGATATGAAATCACTTCGAATGTCTTAGAAATATTCTACAGTTGTCAAAGCAAATGCAAGATTCAAAAAGAAATATGGTTCATTGTACGTATTAGATATGACAACAAATAATATTTCAGTATTTAAACAGCTCAGCATATGAAATGAATAACGATTTGCCTTTAGTGCTTCCGCAGACCACGTCCAGAAACATTAGTGTTTCGTCAACAAGATTGTAATTTTGACGACTACCTTGAGATCGAAGAAAGTTCTGCAAAGCGACCTTTTTAATGTAACTTATTTTATATGAACTCGGTTGTTTTTGATGATACAGCTTCTCCGATGTTGCAACAAATGAACAAAATGTGCGAAGAAATAAAATTGTTCAGTGATGACTGCTGAAAAGATTCGATGGAAAATTTAGTTCAGTTCCAAAATTCAAAACCAAATAGATGATTAATGCTCAATGAATCAGATAGGATACCTGCAGTAAAGCGTTGTGATTTTCACATAGCAACTGCAAAAATCTCAATATAGGTTCAATTATCGCCACTTCAGGAGGCAATAAGGCCTTTGGTCTGTAACAGATCAAACGAATGATTATTGTAAGTGAATAAAGAAAGCATGAAGAAAGGAACAAGCAGTGCGACGAATACAAATGATACATTTCATCGATTTATCTGGCGCCTACTAATCGAGGACATTATATTCCGATGAATTCTGTTTTTTTTTTTCTCAATTGATTTACAACCATACAGCAGAATATACAATCGGCAATACAACTTAATAGAATTGTATTTTCTGGAAGTAAAATAGCATGAGAGAATGAATCGAATTTTGGATTACTGACGCTGTCGTGTGTTAAGAAAACAATTGTTCGAAAAAGGCATTCAGTTAGCCAAATGCAAAATACCGACGAGCAGAGGAGTTCATCTTAAAGAACAAATACAATTAACGTATCAAACCATCAGCAACTCGAACATAATACAATCGCTTACAATCTTCTATTGTTATCAAAGACTTACAGAAACATTTACATCACACTCAACAGTGCACATTTCAAACCGACTTTCTTTCAATCTTACTTCGAAAAAAGAAATTAATTGAGGAATATCTTTAACTCACCTCTCATCATCTTGATAAGGACTTATATCAGGAATGCTACTCCCCACAATAAGATTGTCTGGCTGAAGAGGAACTGGAACAGCGAGCTCGCCCACAGATATTTTTTTGATCAATTCATCGTTTACAAAATTGGATTGTTCATCTGGCAACGGAGTGTTCATCACCGACGCTGAAATAGAGAGGCTAATTGATCACCGATTAGTTTCAGAAAATCAGCTGATCAGATACAAAATAAGACATTCTGGATGAAGCAAATTGGATTTGAGAAACGCTCAATCATGTTCACTCAACTACTCACTTTAAACAGTCATGAGCAACCTATCGAGGCAGGTGTCATGTACATATTGTTTACTGCGGTAATGAAGCATTAATAGCTTCTTAATTTTTGCTAGCTTCTATACCAGAAAATTTCTGAAAACCATTTTAGTCTTTTTCCGTTTTTACAATGAGGTTCCCAATATGTCGTATAACGTCATATCGCATTATTCCGCAAAGTGGATTCGAATTTTTAGAGATTTGATTTAAAGTGAATCCAAGAATTCAATTCTTGTAAACTAGAGTTTCGTAGCTAAGCAATGAATGAAACCTGAGTATGCATTCCGCATGAAAGGAATTTTAAGAACTATATTTGATGAGATTTGAATATTCGAATGAATTCAACGCCGCATTTTGTAACGCTCTCATCAGCGGGTGCATGTAACTTACTACCTCACTTTAGATTATTCCCAAAACAACAGTCATCATCAAGTATGTGCTCTGATTACGCATTCATTTTTTTCCAAGTAATATGATATGAATTAAAAATTAAACGAATCATTATGCGATCGATTATTTACGTTTCACATAAGCACAAGGTTTTCACGTTTAGAAGTTCAGTGATATTCATGTAATAGAGTGAAACAATTAGGCACGTTTTTTAAGACACCGATAAATGATGATGAACATGAAGTTTCTGAAACGTAACTCAATGCACACCATGATTCAAGGTGTAGAAACGAAATGAAAAGTTTATCCATGTCAGTGAACTAGAAAAGACGGACATTGGAACGTATGCTTGCAGATTATTCTCGAATCAAGCGATTACATAGTAAAGTGGCTCACAAAGAGTTAAAGAAATGATGCGATAGAAGTGAAAGATCAACGCTCAGTACAGTAGTATTTGTTAGCAGCTAGTAAAACACTCATTATAACATTGTGAAGAGTAAGTTGCTTACATCGTCTGCTGATTGGAGCCGAATATGCTGAAAAAAATTCGTATAAGCTTTAATGTAGAAGATGAACAAATGATATTCCGGAACAAACTCTGATAACGTCTAGATATCTGTTCCGGAAAGTCTTCAGCACATTGTACGCTATAGTAATTCGCAGCATCCATTTAAAGCATTGGAACAAATGAAGGAAGAATGTAAAGTAGTAAGTAGCATTAGCAAAAATAATGGCTACAGTTACAAAGGCAGTGATATGTGGTTGAATGATGTTAACAATGCGATCGTTCTGATTCTTACTGAGAAGCATTACGCATCATAGTTAATAAGCAAACAAGATTAGTAAGAGATACCCTGAAATTTCCTCGAGATGGATTGTAATGCTGCAAATGTTAAAAAATTCTATAAGAAGTAATTTTAATGGTTTTCACCGAAGCATTCATATGTTGCACGTGGGTGAACGTCAGTAAAATAATTTTCGGGAATGCTCAACAGATTTAATTTCTGAATTGTTCAACAAGCCATTATCAACCGCTTTAGCTAAGTTAGTGCACTGAGTTAATAGTAGCAAAATGCGAAGAACAAATTTACATTGCTTTACATCTACATCTTTATGAGACATAATCTAGAGTGTCTCACTGTTTTTTGGAACGGAACTGTTGCTGCTGGTTAGTTATCGCGTTGTAATGTTTCCTAGTGTATTTGATAATTTATTCAACCGGGAACTGAAGATGAATTGCTCAAAACGTTATGAGATCAAATGCGCGCAATCATAAATAAATACTTGCAGATCTTTTCTTTCACGTTCTGCTGAAAGGTTCCCACAGGTTTGAGTAACTACCATAAGCACATGTAATACTGAATCAGCAATTTCAATTTTTTTGTTCATCCAAAATTTTTTCAATCTTTTATCTTTGCACATTTATCTATCAAAATAGCCCACTGCAAAAATATTAGTGCTATTATTTCATCCCACTGCATTATACGTAAATGCTGAACTTAGTCAATCGAAAGCTAAAATCTTTACGTACCACTACCACATTGTTCGACTGTAATACCTGAAGGGATCAATCATGTGATAATACAACTCAGGACAATGAAAGAATGTGGAATTGATTGAAGTACCTGGTTTTTGTCTGAGATCACTGCATGCCATCATATCACTTTTGAGGCGATTCTGTGCTACTTGTAATTTTGTTTTGAGCGCTTTGAAAAATGGTTCAGAGACGTTGCGCTTTCTTAATCGATTATAGAATGATGTTTGCACCTGTAATTGAAACTTTTCGTTCTTGAATGCGACAATAGGAAGTAAAATCAGTGTTTGCAAAAGTGACATAATTAACGAATTTGAGACTGAACTGAAAGAATTTGACACCTCGTGATTGCCTCCATGCAAAAGTGCTTTTGCAAGTTGTATCGACATTAGGAAAACATCATGAGATGGATCTTGAACGATGAGATCAACAACGAGATCTGAAGTAATAGATGTACCGCAATGAGTGCGTTTGATACTATTTTAGATGTGTTGCTACTTAAACCTTGAACTGAAAGAACACAAAAAGAACAACAAACCGCTTGCACCAGCGCTATTTAGCTTGCACTGCACATCGTGTAGTGATGTTTCCCGAAGTGGTCTTAACTCACTCTCGTTATCTGAAAGTTGATATTCCAAATGACATCTGCAATTGAGTGTTCGCATCAAATTTATTTATTTATTACAACTTGTTGTTTAAAGGCGCTAGTTTATACCAATTTTGTACTTGCTCATATTCTGAGGTAAGCAAGTCGTTGTAGTGTTAATAAGTTGAATATGATCAGCAACGAAAGGATGATCAAATTGTGACGTAGCGATAAAACACCTGTCTCATCATTTAGCTTTCCGCGAAATATGCAAAGAAACATTATAAAATGGTGTTGAAATACTTGAAATGCATTCTTCCCTCACTTACGATAGCTATTAATAGTCGATACTGTATCGTCATTTTCATCCTTATTTTTCGAACCGATTCCATCAAAAACTTCGCTTCCAAAATATCTCTTCAGCAACTGTCGTCTTACGCGTCGACCCTAAATAAGTGTCACTTATTTTTTGAATAATTTATTATTCGTGCGTAGGTGCTTGGTGTGAGAAGTTAGTAAAATTGACAAGATTATTGAATGCTTCAAACAATCACTCATTAGGTTGTATTCATTGGGTTATATGCGCAAAACAAACAATTTCATCACAATTCATTTTCTTTAATGAGTCAATCAGAATCAAATCGCATTGCGATGGAAGTGTCTTCAACTGTTGATGAGTCTTCAACACGACTGCATCAAACATTCGTATTTAATTGCCTAGCATGCAAATAGATCTGTTGATTGGTGGCTAATAGAATGGCATATCAGGATGAAATTTCATTAGTTTGCATCAAACAATAGTATTTATTCGCACCGAAAACGTATGGAAGGACATAATTACTTAGGGTGGCCAAAATACTGTTCTAGTGACAGTTGGGGAGAAGGAAAAAATACGAAACAAAATAGTAAACAGCACGTGGAAAGGAAATACAATATTGTACTATTTTTGATTAATAATTCGGGTAAAATTTTTATGCTGAAAACAAGGTCAGTCAAATAAAAGTGGTACAATTGTTTCAAACGATGTACCATAATGATAGCAAGAGCAAACAAGCTTATGAATATTGACCACAACAAAGTAATAATGAAAAACGGTTGGTTGCATGGTTCATATCATTTTGCCGTATATATCAAACAAATTCGAAGGAAATCTGAGAGATTGAAAGAAAACAGATGAGGAATGTAGAGTGATAGAAAAATACCAATAGAGCAATCATGTAAATACTTTAGATTAACGGATGAAAGTTTAGTAGCAATCTTTTATTAGCGAGGTAAAGCCACTTGAATACGGCGAGAGAGTCTCCAACCATTTTTGAAGACATTTAGGGATGGAGCATTTATGACATGTTGTAGCAAACAATTCCAAGCTTTTAATACTGTTGCAAAAGAAATATTTGAACTTATTCAAGTTATCTCTTTAATGGCTAGTTTACACTCATTACAAGTTTGATCAAGGTTACTTGAAGTTGATCGACATAATTATATACAATGTTACATACTATACAAAAGTCAGTGTAAATTCTGCATAGCTCAATGATTTCAGTGATAAAGTTTCAATCCTTCTGTGTACTTAGGGGCTCAAAATGAATGGGATCTCTTGAGTACTTTATGAGTGAATTTGCGTTTGACTAACTCTAACAAATTAATGTCGTTATGAGGGTCAGATGGTGACCATAAAGAGGAAGCAAATTCCAAAACGGGACGAACATAAATAATGAACAATCTTGTGAGCAGGGAAGTAGACGTGATGTGAAGGAACGAAATATGAAACTAGCTCTGAGACTGGCCTTCTTGACAACATTCAAGATGTGTTCGCAAAAGTCGATTTTGTTGCTGATCACAACGACTAGATCTCTAATGGATGTGACTAAGTTAACAGAGCATCCATTTATAGTTAGCGTGACGTTAGAATTTGTATCACCGAAATGTACGAGATTGATTTTGTTTATTGCTAGGAATTCAGTTTAGTATTGGTGTCACTAAAGAAATGTTTCATATCCATGCGTGCTGATTTGTATCTTCTTTTATATGTTGATCTTGTGAGGATTAATTTCTTTACGAAGTTTAGCACTAGAACAAAGAATTGTAACATGATAATCATCTGACTAGAATTGTGTGGTTTGTCTTTTTATCACATATGAGCATTACCGTCGCAAACTCAGGTCACATTCAACGCTTCACGTAAATCAACAAACATGCAGTCAACTGACAATGAGTGAAAAGCGGAGAAATGTGATGAAATTCGTGTGATCATTCACTAAAGCAACATTTAGAATACGAAAGTGGCAAAATGGATATGAAGGACGGATGTGAACGGTACAAAAAACAAATAAAAACTTGCATACCCAATGACTGCTCGGACCAGTTTGCACAGCTAATTCTGGGCATATATTCTGAACATTATTTAAGCGGTCAGCATATACTCCATTTAAATAGACATCGCCCTCAGTAACACGAGAAAAGACTACTAATGAAGATAGATGTAAGATTGCGTAGTTTTGCATAGAATTTTTATTCAGCTGGAATAGAGGCTGCAGAATAAAAGCATTTCTCATGGAATAGTTATTACATCGTTATGATTAAGCAGACGTGTTTTCTCTCCTCATTACCTATCATATCATAATTCAAGCACCTTCTTCACTTCGAAAGTAATCATTTTGGAAGCTGATCACAACGGGGCAAACTTTTATAAGAAGTGTGAATCTGAAAACAGTACAGTAACTTGGGGCATACAATACAGGCATCAATCATCATGCATCCCCAATGGCTGTATTATATTCGTACTATCTAAGCTCATACGGAAAACTCATCGCTCGAAAATTTACATTTCACTACAAGGCTGAACGCTCAACTGATAAGTATAGTTCACAGCAGAAATTTTTCATTGAAATTCTTTGATCAAATAGAAACATTTTGAAAGAATGTTACATGTTGAATAGTCAACTGAAAATTATTATGGTTGTATTATATGATCGGTAATTGTAACGGATGATAAATGAATATGAATGGAACATTGAAGGATGACGAAATATTCATGAGAATTGCAAAAGAAATTACGAGTGATCATAATTCTTGCTAACGTTTCAAAGTGGCCACCTTTTCATAATTCAGCCACTTCCAAGAATATTCAACGATATTACTTGGAAGCATTGCATAGAATTTCGCATTAAAGTGATGACGATTCAAGAAATGTTTGTATGCAAAACTGATCATCTAATGTACTTTATTTCTTTGATTGAAACGTGCTAGAATTGTTATTTTTATGAGTTTTGGACAGTGAACCTACTTAAGGTGATAATCTAATGAAACTGTCAGATTTTCCGAAAATATCATGTCAGTCGAAACAAATGAATCTTTATCTGCACTCATTCAAGTAAGACTGGAGAGCCGTTTCAAACTTATTTTTGGTATGAAAACCTCAGTTTCATGTATATATTTGTTGTATTGGTAAGTGGAGATATCTTTTTGTAGTGAATGTACTCGATGAAGGGGGAGGAGTGCGGGTGTCCGAAAAGTCACTGAGAGTATATATTCAAAGATGGATTTATTGAGAGGGATATTATTTAAGCGGACGTGATGCATGGTATTTAATTACCTGCTGGTTGAAGTTGTGCTTTGCACTGGTCGCCATACGACACAATGTTTGCAAAACACGAACACATAGATTCTCTTGGCCATGTTGAAGGAGATGTTTACAATGTTGAATCAACCTGAACGTCAAAGTCAAATCAAATTGAATTCGTGACCTAAATAAACACATCATTGATAATACTCCAAACAATGAAATGAAATTCCAACCGGTTAATCTTACATATCCGTATCAACGACAATGTTGGATGCTTATAATGTTTACAACGCTTACTGTTAATGTTTACTTAATTAATACTTAATGCTTACTTAGTAATACTTACTTATAATACTTACTTATTAATACTTGCCTAATACTTATTAGTCAATGCTTACATTTGTTAATTAGCTTAAGGTTTTTTGAAGAATGACTTTGAAAAACATCAGCTTCACTGATGTGACATTAGTGATCAAATACTGAAATTTTGGCCGATGTAAGCAATTAAATAGCAAAATGACATGTGCTTTTAATAATAGTCTTAACGAAAGCAAACGATTATGATGAAAGAATTCTATTGCAGCCAATTTACTGCTGTTTATCATCGAACTCTTCGCTGTGATTCAATCATCCATTTTTCCTGTTCGATAAACTGTCGACGAGCACCAAATGCTGACTGTTTTTGGTGAAAAGGAAAACAGTGAACTGAGTGTGATGTTAATATTCAAGCCACTAACTTAGCTACAACGCCTCCATTTTCGCATTTTTCATGCAATTCTGAGCCAACCGGGAAAAGTCGTTCGGGTGTATGCAGAACATCGACAAGTACTGACGCTTCAGCACCTTGCAAAGGAAGAGCGAAAATTCGAAATTCAGCAACAACTCCCTAGAACGAGGCCAAGGTTAGTATCCATATCTATATTACTGACTTAATTTACTCATCATTGTCCTAAATACTATTTATTAGTTAATTATAAGCTGACTTTATCATCATATCATAATTAACGCAATGCTTCAGCTCAATAGATTATCGTTATTAATCTTCTAAAATTTTCAACAACTTTTCTTCTTACATATATCTCGAATTTAATGTTCCCAGATCGTCCTCAAAAGCATTCGTGACTAAAAAAGATTTAGCAAACCCTGCAGTCACACACACCTGATAGCAGGTCACAACATTCGTATGTGTATCAATCGTTTTGCTGAAATGCGGCATTGAGAGTTGACTTTTTATGCGGAGAGTTGCTTGATTCCGCTTGATGAAACGCGCCGAATGTGCAGCTGTTTGCCAACGTTGTTTCGGAGTAGTCGCTCCACTCAACGGAGGTGCTGTCAAATTAGCGGGCAACATCAGTCCATGCTCTTCAGCTAAATTTCTTAAACCATTCTTACGGGCTGATTACAATTCCTTTCTTTGACTCGCTGATTCCTTTCTTTGACTCGCTGATTCATAACTTTCAGCTGATTGATTTTTTTGTTTCATTTTTGTTAATCTCAGTAATTCCTATTTGAACTTTGCTAACCGATTAGATATTCATCTAATTACTGGCATGTGGGTCTTATCCTGGTGAATAGAAATATATAATTGTTGAGTAGCCAAGGAATATTGGAATTCCAACTGCAACAATGCAAAGATTAGCACTGAAGATAATCTTTTGTTCAGATTGCACTACTCAGAAGCAATCAGTTATGAGGCAGTTCCTGAAACGTTTTCATACAGAATTCTGTTTGCTGCAGTTGAACTCCTGTCGAACTGATCACACGAAATCTTAATAATGCGCTTCGGTTAGCGATTATTCAACGGTTATGTAATCCAATTATTCCGTCTGAAACAGTAGTTCTCGGAAGGGGTGAATTACCCATTTTGGGTAATTTGGAGATGTTGAGGGGTAATGGAGGGGGTCGAGAAATTAGTATTTCGTGCACTTGTTGTGTTACGATAGAACGCCATTGTGATGGTGTCTAACAGGGTTTCCATTCGTTTTAATAGGATTTTCATTCTTTTCTTTGCTGTCACAATCGCTCTCATAGCTTTTATCACCGAAAGTATTTTCTTTTGCTAATTTCTCATTCATTTCATTCAACAATTGAAGTCAAATTCTCATTCTATCAAATACACTCTATAATTGATTATTTGACTGTCGAACGTTGTTGAACAATAACATTCGATTGCTGTATCGTTGATTTCGAGTGTCAACAATCGTCATCGTATTCGGTAAGTAGTATATGTTACTGAATGAGAAATTGATTCGACTTGTGAAGTGAAATGAGACGAAGTGAATGTGATAAACCCATCAAGAGAACGGTATTCGCATGCAATAGTTATGAGAGTGAATATAACACGTCCGAAAAGAATGAGAATCCATCTAAATCAGTTTGAAGTGAGCGTGTCATAGACAATAGCTTTTCATGCAATCATAATCGATTGCAATAATGAGGAAAGTAACGGTTTAAGAGAAGGCTTATCCTGAACTTGCTAATAAGATTGAACGTAACGGTCATCTGAGCATAACATGTGCGATTTCCAGATTCAATGGCGGGGGGGGGGCGATAACGGTGGCCTGCCAGGTTATCAAAAGGGGTAGTGAAGCACCCGAACGTGAGAGTAACTGGTCTAAAACGTCGTCGTCATTACCAACATCCAGATTTGATGACATCAAATAGCACAACTCACCACATTTTGTGAGCCGTTTAACACATTCAGCAATACGATACCAGTTCTTCGTTGAACTTCTTCGTCGTGACCACTCACTTTGCAAGTAGCTTAGGTTCTGAATAACCTTCATAAACGAGCCACGATATTGCTGCAATATGAATTGCATTCACAAAATATGAACGCCCTCATTCCAGGCTCACAAATCGACTAGATGTTAAAAGTATTGAGAAACGTTTACGGTAACTTTTAGTTGTTGGCAAGACTCTGGTCTGTAAAAAACCAATCGGCTACCGTTCTAAAATCTCCTTCAGAAGTCTCCATTTTAACTCATCAACGCTCACTATCAATTGAATTTACATCAAAATTCTTTGAGGAATCTATTATCATTATTTTCGATCAGCATACCGATATTTCAACGAGCGGTTGGTCAGTGAATGGCTTCTCAAAGAACTTGACAAGAACTTCAGTTACCGTATGGCATACATATCTCTCAAGTGCTGAACCTGGTAGCAGTAAGTGGCCTTCTGCTCGTAGCTGAAATATTCAATCATTTAATCGAAAACTTATCATGCACGTCAAAGCTCTTAGAAATGATCGACAGATTCAACAAACGTCAATGACTTGAGAAGATGATTCTCAAAAACCAGAAGCGCTAGATATAAGTGACTTGCTCAGATCAAATGACATTTTATATTTCCTTCGTTTGCATTTACCCAAAATTTTCGAATTTTTATTTCTTCAATGAGTTTTGAAATTTTGGATTTGATTTTGAGACAAAATTTGGGACGAAATGTTCCTTCCTACAGTGGCCACGGGAATCTAGAGTCCGTTTTTCTCTCCAAACTGTTATTTGAAGTCATTTTTGAAATAATTCTCGATATCTGCTGTACAGTATATTATAAAGTTTTGCACCCACTGTGATATGGTTATACATACTCACCTTTTGGATGTCAGCAAGCATGTTGCTTAATATCTGCTCAATGTAGTCAACATTGTATACATCCTTCATTTCCGCATCTGTGTCAATATAGCAATGTAACATGAACTGTAGGTAAACGTCCTTCACCTTCAATAAACAAACTACTAACTTTTTTGACCAGTGGAAGATTCCTTCGTATGATCATTGTTTAATTTATGAACTGATCGTAAAATAACGTGAATTGAAAGTTACATAGTTTTGGCTTAAGATTTAATGAATGCTACCTGAATAAGGCAATGAGGTGAGGTAACTACACGAACAATATGATCCATTGGAAGTTGTGATGCACACTTTAGTTCTGTAGTGCCATTCTTTCCACGCGTACACATCGCAAGAAGTCTGTGGCAAATTATATATATATATA